ACTTAACATAGGATGCTAAGCTCATATTTATCAGGCATAACCTAAACAGGCTACCCTACTGCTGTCTACTCAATTCTAGCGTGCAATATTCAATAAGCTGTAACAAACAAACAGGCACATAAGGCATCACTCCTAGATCCTTAGCCTATTCTAGCATGCAATATTCATAAAGCTGATAAACATAACATAAACTTGTATGGGTACTATGGGGAATACTTACTTGAGCTCGGCCGTTCGCGCGCGTCACACACTTTACTCTTTCTCGTGACTCTTTTCCGGGTTTTAAAGAACAATTTCTTTTGGAAAAATCTTTCAATCCCTCGATTTGAGTCCAAACACTCCCGAAGGCGTGTCCGAATCCCTCAAACCAGGGCTCTGATACCAACTTGTAACGACCCAATTTTTACGTCCGAAAATTTCATTTTTAAGATATTACTTTAGAAAACATTTATAAATAAAAACATTGTTTAAATAAAAAGAAACATTGTTTGTTCACACCATAACACATTGCAACCATGTTCTCAAAAGCCAAACCGTACATCCCATCAAAATATCAGAGTACAATCCCAGTAAATCTCATAATTGCAGAAACCGAAGAGTGTGTGTATGACGTGCTGCTACCGCGCCGGCTCCTTCCCCTTCGATGCAGAGGTACCTGAAAACAAAACTGTAAACGTAAGCACAAAGCTTAGTGAGTTCCCCCAACGTACCGCATACCATACAAACACATAACATATATACTGCCAGGCTATTCTGGGGTGCCTGACTACCCGGTACGGCCATTCTGGGGTGCCGACCTACCCATACGGCCATTCTGGGGTGCCGTCTTACCCGTGTCAAGCCATTCTGGGGTGCTGACTACCCATCGGTCCTAACAACCGATCCTCGGGGACTATTTCACCCCTACTACTACGATCACATATAACATAACAAGCCAGCATGCATACATATCATCACATACTGTCAGACGTATCTGGGGTGTCTGACTACCCTTCGGTCCGAACAACCAAACTCTACTACTATCACATACAACATATCATGCTAGCATATAACATGTCAGGTAATAGCGAACTTAGATGATATCACGAAGACAATCATCTATCATACATCTCCTACTGGTGGGTCGGCATTGTGGCCTTAGACCCACCGCTACTGGAAGGTAACTCACCTCAAAGTAGCTGCTGAACTGATCGAGAACTAACTGACTGCTGCTGCTCCGGGAGTCCTCCGGCTGCAATTTCCACGACATACTCAATCAAACACTGCTAACTGTCCTTTAGGTAAAATGACCATTTTACCCCTGGATTAGCTCTAAGCCAAAGCTGGAGTCAACTTTCAGTTGACCCGACTCGCCGAGTGGATCACCACTCGCCGAGTCCCTAGCCAACCAATGTCCTGGGTCCCTGGTTCTACTCGTCGAGTCGGGCTATGACTCGACGAGTTCACCTTCTTACTGTCATTCAACACCTTCATCCTACTCGCCGAGTTGTATGAACAACTCGTCGAGTTCATCTTCATCCGATGAACACTTTATGCTAAGACTCGCCGAGTTGTATGAACAACTCGCCGAGTCTGTTCTTGAGCTATGAAGATTGCCTTGGACTCGCCGAGTCAGGGCATTGACTCGCCGAGTCCTAACATGGGTGAGTTCAGCTCCCAACTCACCGAGTCACCCCCTGTGACTCAAGGCTCAACTCGACACATGAAGAAGGGACCAAATCGGTGACTCGCGACCAGACTCGCTGAGTCACCTATGCGACTCGCCGAGTCGCCGCCATGCACTCCTTAAATATACCGATTTGCTCGGTTCCAGTCCATGCCATTCATAGATCTGGACTTCTAGGACACGAATCACACGTAAAGTTTCCAACTTTACGTGTGGATATTCACCAATATGGATTATAAGGCTCAAAATGTCTCAAAAGGGTAGATCTAGGGCTAACAAGCCTCATGGGGCCAAAAAGCTAACAGATCTGAGCTCCTGGAGCTCAACCTTGCATAGATCCAAAGGCCAAACGCCTTATTACGACATATAATGCACATGCAAACTTGGGGCATTGACCAAGAAGGACCCAAATGAAGTTTTAAGCATAGAATCAAGGGGAAAACGGGTTATACCTCAAAGGAAATGTTGAAATGACACAAGGATGGCTGATCTCCTTCTCCTCTTCTTGATCTACTCCTCTTACTCTTCAAAACCTTCAAGAACACACCAAGAACACCTCAAACTCTCAAGGAAACAAGGGAAAACAATGTAGGGGGAGTTCTGGGGGTGAATGGGGACGAGTTGGGGCTGAATGAGAGTTTAAATAGGGTGCAAACCCTTGAAACTTAGGGTTTCATCCCGCAGCGGTGACTCGCCGAGTCCAGGATGTGGACTCGTCGAGTCGCCTACTTAAAACGTGTCCTGAGTCTCGTCCCTACTCGGCGAGTCGGACCCTATGACTCGCCGAGTCTAAGGCTAAATTAGGGCAATGCTCAAAAAAATTCACATACCGGAAACCAGGTGCTACATGATGTTTCTAAGGTTTTAGTACTTGTACCCGACACTCAATATTATATGCAGTTGACAATGGAATGATATGATAATGAATAACAAAAGTATTATTAGTAGTGAACTAACATGCTCTTCATTAATGGAAAAAAGCTAGAAAGAGAGTGAAATTGAACAAAAACTTGGAAGTTTTATTTGATTATGTATCAACACGTTGGTTGTTAATTCCCCTCACACAAACTTGGTAGAAAATGGAGTTCTGACATTGTATTTACCAAAACCCCAAGTGATAGAAGCATATAGAGTTTTGACTACATACTGACTGTCCCATATGAAGTACATTTCAAATGTCACTTTTTGGTTCAATGAAGTGAATTTTAGCGCCTCAGTGCCAATACCTAAAGTTAGACCACCTGGAATAGAAGCACTTTTTGTGGTGTAAGTTGAATTAGCTTCACAAACATTAGTTACTTCCTTGTAAAAGTTTTGGCATTTGAAAAGACAGAGGAAGGACACCTCTTGTTTCTAGTAGTGTTTCTCCTATGGCTTCTTCTCCTACAAGAATAGACCATGGTTTTAGAACTCGCCACCCGGTACCTCTTCGGCCGACTACCGAGTAGCGAGTACTCGGATTCGGTAATTCCTGTAGAAATATTTTTAGAGAAATTATATATGTCAAAATAATTAGTTAAAACCATAAGTTTATTGAAATATATAACAAAATTAGATACATGTGAATACACAAAAACTGGAAAACACACAATGGTCCCACTCTATGAATAATTACTGAAAATATATGAAATATTTGTAGTAATAATCACATGTGTGTGTTAAATAATAAATCATTAAGTATATTATACATATTAATCACTGGGTTGGCTGAGTTTTACAACATTGGTCGCTTCAGTAAGGGGTCGATCGGGAAGTATTCAGATTCTGTAACTCGCCGTGGTAAGGGGTAGGTATGAAAGTGGGTCCAAACCCAGACCGGATGGACCCGGATCCAGAAAACCTGTAACCGATTAACGTGATTTTGTAGAACCGAAAATCGGACCGATATATAGGAACCGATTCCGGTTCAGTTCCAGGTACGGTACCGGGTAAAGTGGGTCTAGAACCGGAAAACCCAAAAACATTAAAGTGGGTAGGTTGGAACCAGATAAAGTGAGTTTAGAACCAGAAAAAAAACCTGAAAAACCCGATTTTTTGGTAATTATTTACTACTTTGTGGGTTGAATTTTAAACATTTTCATATTAACATCCCAACTTTGGGGGAGTGTAAGTCATTGAATATGAAACCAAAATTGACAAAATTATAGTCTAAAATCATGTACAAATTCTAAACTACACTCTAGAAAAAACCACACGTAAATCCGAATTTAAACGAATGAGATATGCATGTATTAACATTTTCACAGAATTCAAAGTACAAAAATAAATAACTGGAAAATTGAAAATTTTCAGCTTTGATATCCTGACTTTGGGGGGCTGGAAGTCCTTGAATATTAAACCAAAAAGGACAAAATTATAGTTTAAAATCATGTATAAACTCTAAACTACAAGTTGGAAAAAACCACATGTCAAACCGACTTCAAACGAATTAGATATGCATGTTTTAAAAACTTTCACAGTATAAAAAAGTTGAAAAACTAAAAACTTCCAGCTTTGATATCTCAACTTTGAGGGACTGTAATTCAATGAATATAAAACTAAAAATGACAAACTTGTAGTCTAAATTCATTTACAAACTCTAAACTACACGTTAGAAAAACCGTATGTCAATTCGACTTGAAATGAATGAGATATGCATGTTTTAAACGTTTCACAAAAAATGGTTCCGACTCGTAAAAGTGGTTCCAGTTCCTAACACCGGTTCCGGTTTTTAGACCTGGTTTGCCCGGACCCGATGGACCCAAACCCGGATTATCCGGAACCCGGATAAAGCCATATTTTAAACTCAGAACCAGAACTGGTTCTATATATTCCGGTTTTAACGGTTTCGGTCCGGTTTTCCAGTTTTAAATCTCATCCCTAGTAAGGGGTCGAGTAGGGTGTACTCGGCCGAGTAATCAACCATCTCGGTGAGTTTTACAACACTTCAATAGACTTTTTAAATAATTTGTCCATGTGGTTTCAGTTTCATGTGTTGTTAGTCCCTTTGATTTGATTCAAAATTAATCAAAAATTACTCTTTTACCACTGTTTAAATTATTTATTTATTTACGTAATAACATAATAAATTAACATTTACACGTATAATTAAACTTATCGCAAAGCTTAAGTTGTCACTGCATATTAATTACTTTCATGCACCAACATATCCTATATTTTTACAATTTTAATAATGGATATTCTTCATAACTCCAATGAAACACCCTAGTTGGGAACAATCTCAACAAACTATATTTAGTATTTGTCATTTCTTATTTATTTAATTGGGATTAAACCCAGCCAAAACCAAAATAAGGAGAAGAAGCTTTTACTTTGGATCTTGAAGACATCAAGAATGACTTCTAATAACCTATTAGTACTTGAAGCACTAAACACAGCTCGTACCCAATGGTACCATGCCAAAGCCATTGTCATCGCTAGAATAGGTTTCTTTATAGATGCATACGACCTCTTTTGTATCTCCACCATCTCCAATCTCTTAGACCGTCTTTACTACCCAGAGCGTAGCACCGACCGAAACCTTGGAAAACTCCCTACCCACATCAACAACGCAGTGATCGGAGTAGCCCTCGTCGGAACCCTATCTAGACAATTGGCGTTTGGTTGGCTTGGTGACAAGCTTGGTCGTAAGAAGGTTTATGATATAACCTTGATTCTTATGATGATATGTGCGATCTGTGTTGGTTTTTCTTTCGCCTTCAAGCCAAAAATAGTGATTGGGACCTTATGTTTCTTCCGATTCTGGCTCGGATTTGGGATCGGTGGTGACTTTCCCTTATCCACCACCATCATGTCGGAGTATGCGACCAAAAGAACCTACGGGTCGTTTATTACCGCAGTCTTTGCCAACTGGGCACCGACGTATGAAGATAACCCTATGCTTTCCACACAGAAGAACGCCAACTACGCATGAAGGATTGTCCTCATGATCAGAGCTCTCCCTACGCTCTTGACAAACTACTGGCGTATCCAGATGCTGGAAACTGGAAGGTACACTCACTAATGGAAAAAACGTAATATGATACGGCTAAAAGTATGAATATAGTACATACATAGAGGGTGTATCAGTAGACGGGTGTATTAGATTACATGCCAAATAGAGTACGACTATTTAACCGTACTCTATATGTATCCTATCTATAGTATTACAACTATCGCATAAAAGAATCTAATACACCAGATGTTAGCATCCAATACACCATAAACAACCGACCTTGATGTCACATTCTCCATTCCTGCAATCCATTCGTGATTGCATTCCAGGCCATTCCGGCTGTGCATTCCAGCCTTATTCATCACCCAATTCCACTCTATGGATGCTGCTGTGGAACACATGGATCGCCATTCCAACTGAAAAGAACTCTTCAATTTCTGCAAAGCTTTTACTACAACATAAAGGAAGAGTTTTTACTTCATAAGAATCCTTTTCAAAGCTTCAAATTCCAAGAAATGTTTTAAAAGTACCTTCATCAATTGAAGTATTGGCCTCAACTCTAACAATTTCAATGATCTCTATGGTCTCTATGGCACTGATTATCGTATGACTGATATGACTACCTTTTAAAAGCTGCAAAACTATTTTCAAACTCCTCCCACTAACATGGATTGTTTGTATTAAGCACAAGAGCACTATTAATATCTCCACTCATTTTGACAATATCAATCTCTTGAAACATGTTATCACCATTTATAATGATGTCAAAAACTCATTGTCCCTCCTGTATAAGTTGTAACGGGAGGATCAATCTCTACAAATTACAAAGTAGTTGATAAATTTTTCAAAGGATAATGTCTAAAAAACAAAAAGAAAAACGGAAAGTATGATGCTATAAATGGCAAATTTTCTAAAAAAAATGCAATGCCTTAATAAAATCTTGCACACAAGGTGCATTAAACAAGATAACATCGGTGGCATGCTATAGTTATGGTGATAATATTCCTTATTTCTTATATATCAAATGTGTATTTTTAGTTTTTTACTTTAATAAAAAACTATAATCTTAAGGATGTGTCTATGATCTTCCATCAAAGTAATACTCTTTAGTATACTGTAGAAATGAAAATATCAAAATCTTTTGTTTACTTTGAACACAAGCTTCAAAATTTTTTGCTATAATATATATATATATATATATATATATATATATATATATATCAATTTTTGTTCACGAAATTAATAAGTTTCTCTTTAAACGTGCCATTGTCTCTGTTAGTGTATACTAATTAAAGATTGCCTTCACCCTGTTAACTGGTTCCAAATTTATTAATCATATATGATATTTACTAAAAAAATGTATGAAATGAAACCAAATAAATAGTTAATAATAACATCACAATAGGAGTTTTTTCATGTAAAAAAAAAACTCAAGAAAATTAAAGAAGTTATTGGATGATCTTTTTTAAAGAGCTTGTTAATTAACAAGCTTTGAATGATTTGGTGGATCCATGGGTTGTCAACCAATTGTATATAGACAACATATACAAGAGTACCACAAATAACAAACTAAAATAACGTTTCTATTGTGGGGATAAAAAGAGTTTTTCATGTAAAGTCATATAATGAAAAAATTCCATCAAAAAGCTCTCTTATTATAGATGTTAGGGAAAAAATTTACCTGCCAACATCATCGGCTTTAACTAAACCAGAATTAACTCTGAGACAAGGCAAAGAAATTGTTGTCTTCAACATTTTAGGATCTTCCACTATGATGGTTGTTGACCAAATCTTTAGTGATTCAAATGCTTTTCATGTGAGCCTGTTTCTGCTGGTGGCTCTTTTGATGAACACATGATTCTATGAACGAAACTCCAATTATTTTGGATGCTCCTGCACTATTCAAGAAACCATAGCCATCATTCAATTCTAGAATGTTGAAACCAGCGGTCAAATTTTAGTTATGCCGCATTACCAACAATAATCTTCAGTTTAACAATTTTAACATTAATCAAACCGGATAAGGATATCAAAGCTAGTGGCAGATGTAACACCAATCTCATTATCCATTGAGAATCATTAGAATGAGAATATTGTCGTTCGTAATCAATATAATCAATTATTATTATCTAGCAGATATGTAGATTCATACCAATCTCAGTTTGGCATTAGTTTGTTTGTTTTGGTTAATTATTTCAATTTATAAAAGGACATAGGTTATATTTAAACCATAGTGAAAACATGTAGCTAAAACACAAAATTTGCAACTGGTCATGTAAAATGATGCTAAGAAAATCAAAAAATTAGGAACAAAGTTAAGAATGAACACATTCTTTCTCTCAGAAAAACCAATTGAAGAAATGTTGCTAAAGGAGAGGGGATTTGAAGCTGAGGAGATTGGAATCTTTATTGAAATGTGCAGAGATGAAGCAAACGCCATGGGAAATAGTTAGTTACAAAAGGTTCTCCGATGAAGCTGGAGATGAGGGTAAGGAACTTGAGCTGCAAAGAAAGAACCAAAGGAAGAAACGTAAGTTTCACGCATATACAATTCCCAATGTACTCCAATAAACGGAAATCAGATGACCAAATATGCAATAGAATGAACAGTTTGAACACTGAATTAACTTTATCAATTGCTAATGTATTATGACATTAATTAAACAATTGATTAGAAAGAATACATGGTTGTTCAATATTGAAGACTCGATGAATTTAATCTGAAATCGATTTTGAATTGGCGATGAAGATACATGAATCTGAAATCGATTTTGAATCGGCGGCGAAGATACACGAATCTGAAATCGATTTTGCATTGGCGATGAAATTGACAATGAGTTTTGAAGAGGTGCTCGTCGGTGAAGAGAGGCGATAGAGTATGTCGATCGATCGAGAGAGAGAGAGACAGAGAGAGAGAGAGGGGGAGAGAGTGTGTGAGCAATCAATTTTGTAGATGATGTTGTTGTTCATCGATGCTTTGATAAGTACGCCGCTTGACAAAAAAAGAGTGAAGGCGATCTACAAGGGCAAAATGGGAAAAGTACAAATGAACAGTCAATTCAATTTTGACGTCGCGTCAAATGAACATCCAGTGTTTTGTTAAACATTATGGTTGATGCAGAGGCTAAAGTTTGTAAATAATTGTAAAAATACAAATTTTAATCGGAAATATTATCTAGTACGCCTAATTTCTTGATTTGTTTGTATTAGATTAATTTAGCCTTTTATAATATTGTTTTCATTACAACGTATTAGATGTGGGTGTACTATATTACCTATTTTCCAGTAGTAACTGTCGTGATCGAAAGAAACACCAAGCAAGCAACAGCTTGGGTATTGGATATTGAGATCCAAATGGAGCAAGAGAAGTTGGCCATGTTTAAGGAAAACAACAACTACCCTTTAAATTCTAAAAATTTCATTAATCAGCATGGACATCACTTGATCGGAACAATGACGACTTGGTTCTTGTTATACATTGCATTCTACAATCAAAACTTAGACCCAAAAAGACATTTTTCCGGCGATGGATTTAACCAAGAAAGTCAAACAAGTCAACGCTATGGAAGAAATATTCGAGACTTCACGTGCTATAACTACAAGAAAATTTCGATTTAACTACGGAAAATTTTTGTAGCAAAAAGCTAAAATTCCGTAGCTAAAACTAAATAATTACGGAAGTTGCTATAGATGTAGCACCTGGTTTCTGGTACATAAAAATTCATCTTAGTGTTTTTTCATTTTTAGCCTTGGACTCGGCGAGTTGTAGGTCCGAATCGCCGAGTAGAGACGTGATCCGAAACACATTTAAGTTGGCGACTCGGCGAGTCCATATTCTGGACTCGGCGAGTCCCCGCTGTCTGATGAAACCCTAAATTTCAAGGGTTTGCACCCTATTTAAACCCTCTTATCCGCCCCTAAGCTCGCCCCCTTCACCCTTAGAGCTCCCAACATTGTTTATACCCCTATTCATTGTGAGATTGAAGTGTTTTGGTGTGTTCTTGAAGATTTTGAGGAGAAAGAAGAGTAGATCAAGAAGAGGAGAAGGAGGTCAGGCATCTTTGTGTCATCTCAGCGTTTTCCTTGAGGTATAACTCGTTTCCCCTCTGTTTTCATGATTGTAGTCTCTATTAGCTACATGAAAGTCCTTCTTGAGCCATTCCCCAAGCTTGTTTGTGCATTGTGGGTTGTAATAAGTTGTTAGCCTCTAGATCTAGGCATGATTGAGTCCCTGGAGCTTGGATCTACTGCCTTTATGGAGTCATATTGCATAAAAGCCCTAGATCTACTATTTTGGTGCATTTTGAGCCCTAAAACATTCATTGGTGATTATTTACACGTAAAGTTGGAAACTTTACGTGTAATTCATGCCCTAGAAACCCAGATATGTGAATGACATGAGCTGGAATCAAGAAAAATCGAGTGTATAGTAATTGCATGTGGCCGACTCGGCAAGTCAAGTCGCGAGTCCCACAGTTTTCCCCCTTTTCGTGTTTGCGGGTTGGAGTAGTGAGGTGTGACTCAGTGGGTTGGAAGCCAGACTCACTCATGTAGTAACTCGGCGAGTTCAGGTCAATCTTCTTGACTCAAGATCAGACTCGGCGAGTTGTTCATACAGCTCGACGAGTCTCAGCATAGAGTGTTCTTCGGATGAAGAAGAACTTGGCGAGTTGTTCATACAACTCGGCGAGTAGGATGTAGGACTATTGGCCTTTAGCTTAGTAGGAAAACTCGTCGAGTCAATGCCAAACTCGACGAGTAGAGATGGGATAGTGGTCAGACAAAGGGATATGGACTCGGCTAGTTGACAAGCCAACTCGGCGAGTCGGGTCAACTGGAAGATGACTTTGACTTTAACTCATGGTTTGGTTAAGGGTAAATGGTCAGTTTACCATGAGGTCGATTAGTAGTATTTGACTAAGTGTTTGGTGGGAATTGCAGCCAGAGGATTTCCGGAGCAGCAGCAGCAGACAGACCATTCCCACACAGATCAGCAGCTACTACGAGGTGAGTTACCTTCCAGTAGCGGTAGGTCTAAGGCCACAATGCCGGCCCACCAGTAGGATATGTACGATAGATGATTGTCTTTGTGATATCATCTAGGTTTGCTACTATCAGATATGTTATATGCTAGCATGATATGTTGTATGTGATAGTAGTAGAGTTCGGTTGTTAGGACCGAAGGGTAGTCAGACACCCCAGGTACGTCTGACAGTATGTGATGATATGTTTGCATGCTGGCTAGTTATGTTATATGGGATAGAGGTAGTAGGAGGGGACCAGTCCCCGAGTTCGGTTGTTAGGACCGCAGGGTAGCTTAGGCACCCTAGATATGTCTGATAATATGTTATGTTATGATATATGTGATAGTAGCAGTAGGGGGTGAAATAGTCCCTAAGGTTCGATCGTCAGGACCGAATGGTAGTCAGCACCCTAGAATGGCTTGACATGGGTAATCAGCACCCCATAATGGCTTGACACGGGTAGGCTGGCACCCCAGAATGGCCGTACCGGGTAGGTCGGGCACCCCAGAAATGTCTGGCAATACGTATGATATGCGATTGTATGGTATGCGGTATGATGGGGGAACTCACTAAGCTTCGTGCTTACAGTTTTCAGTTTTGGTTTCAGGTACCTCTTCTTCGAAGGGGAAAGAGCTGGCGCGGTAGCGGCCCATCACACACACGCTTGTATTCCGCACCATGAGATCTTTCTGGGGATTGTACTCTGATGTTGTTATGTTTTTATAAACTGTTTTCCAAACACACACACTTTTATGAAATGATGTGGTTGGTGTATGTTTTACTACTAATGTTTTGCTAAGTATATGTTTTCAAAAATGAAATTTTTGGCTCATATTTTTGGGATGTTACAATAAAAAATTTCAATGAGATTTCATAGTAAGATTTCTTTTAGCAAAATATTTAACTACGAAGTTATAGTTCCATAACAATTTTGCTACATCCGTTGCTACGACGTCTGTCCTTAGCATTTCAACTACAACACATTTCCATCACAATTCCGTAACAATGAGTTTTGTAGCAAATTACATATCTATTTTGTTCCGTAGCCATTTGGTCCATAGCAAATTCTGTAGCTACTTGTTCCGTTTTTCGTAGCCATTTGGTCCTTACCAAATTCCATATCCATTAGTTTCATAGCAATTTTTTCCATAACAATAGGTTCAGGGTGCAAATTTAGTATGATAAAAATATTCAACACAATCCAATATTCCAATTATAATATTCATAAAAATATATAAAAATGTAGTAAATATAAATTTAATGGTTACATCAATTTTATAGATATATTACATCATCGAAAGTTCTTCTACATGGTTGTCTAATCATCAATACTGTATATTAATAACAAATACAGTCACACGTTTTAGATTTGAACCACCATAAACACACAAACAACTACATATGCTCAATCAAAATGACAAAACCTGCAGAATCAACTTGATTAAAATTCATATTTTGTACAAAATCCCAATTTGTTTTGCTTTTTGTTGTTTTATTGTAACCTAATGAAGATGAACATAACCTTTTGATTCCAAAACTAACAAACCATTAATAAACTTGTTTACTTATTATACACATATTTAGTTTTTGTTTAACTTAGCCAAAATAACGAAAAGTAAATTCAGATAAATTTATAAATAATAATCATATTTTTAAGTAATGGGAAGAAAATTGTTTCTAATTAGTTATTACTTTTATGTTATCTTAGAACTATCACGAAACACGAAGCAATGAAAATACATTTTTATTTCTTGCATCTAAAAGGAGCACAAAGAAATACCTTTAAGCATTGCATGATTAAGCTACCAACAACCCTTGAAAGAATCATCTTTTTCCTCTGTGAAAAAAGAAGCAAGAATATAGCGAGAGAATGTCCACAACTCTTTCTGAGGTATAACTACAATGTTGTCAGATGACCTTAGTCTTCAAATAACTGCTGAAAAAAATTCCGAAAGATTTATAGAAAGTAGAAAAAATAATAGCCATAACCATCAGCCCATAAAAAGAGAAAAACCACATCTCTAGGAATTGTTGAGCCAAATTAGAGCTTGAATGATCTGCAGATGAGCTTACACTGAGATTAAAAAAATATGAAGTTAGCTAGTCATATGTAATAATTAATAAATTATTAATTTTATGAGATTCAATAAAAAAAATTGGAATAAAGTCTAGGTAAAAAAATTACCTCTCCATTACTAACAATAGTTTGTCCATTCAGAGTTGCTAAAATTGCAGAAGATGAAAATGCTATTCAGTCTGTTCAGCATAAGAGAATTGTACATCAGAGCGAAACTCCATTCAACAAAAAATACGTTAAAAATCAGAAAAAGGAAAACCCATGCATGATTGTTGATTTAAACCGACGACTACAACACAAAAATATTACCTTCTAGAAGAAAACATATTATCGCTTTTACCGAAACAATAAAATAAAAGTTGGCTACTTTTCTCTTAATCTGATTCATTGGTCCTAAATTTGGATACAATTTCCTTTTTTATCGGCTTTGCAAGTAAAACAGAAGTACATAAATTACTAATTAAAAGATAAGTCGAGATATTGTTGGTTACTAATTACTATTATGGAAACAGTTTTATGTTTTACGATTGTTATGGATTTATTTTTGCTTTCAGCACATTAATCTGGAATTGATCTGTGTAAAAAAAATCGAAACAAAAGGAACTCAAGTCCTATAAGGCAATGGTACCACCGAGCCACAAACCATGTAAATCCAAAAAAAATAGTATTTGATTTTACGAAATTAATGAAAAAATAAAGAGGAAATTTCAATTCTTTTACGTAAAATTAGAATTTTAATGTATGAAAGCATACCGCAATAGGCACATGTGCAAAGAAGGATCCATTTGTACAACCTCTTCTCCTTGAAACTCGCCTGGGAAATAAAAACAGTAAAAAAATGAGAAACTAAACCAAGAACCAAAATTTCAAAGAAGAAGACCAAGATAGGAGATATATTGTAACTAATAAGAGCATGTCCACAAATTAGCGAGCTCTTGAATATGAAACTTCTTTGGAGCATTTCAACAAACAGGTTATGGGCATCTCATAAGAGCTTATATATATATATATATATATATATATATATATATATATATATATATATATATATATATATATATATATATATATATATATATATATATATATATATAGGTAAGAGTTATATGGAAAATGAATGATTAGGGCAATACATATTTGAACCAATGAAAACATGACAACACATCACTTCCACAATACATTACTTGTGAAGAAAGAAATGGACACGTGTCATTTGATTATTGGTTCCGGTAGATGTTGTCCTAGTTATTTGTTTTCCATAGAACTCATTCATATATATATATATATATATATATATATATATATATATATATATATATATAGAGAGAGAGAGAGAGAGAGAGAGAGAGAGAAAGAGGTTCAAATGTTTTTAGCAAATATTGTGTGCCTAAATGCTCAAATCAGAATTTAGGAAAAAAGAAATCATTAATTAAATAATAAAGTGTAAATTAGTCATTTTACCTTTATAACCAAAAATAAATGTTGTATATTTGGAAAATCATTAAATGAGTATCACATATCCTTTTTAAATCGTTATTCATCTCACTAACCCTAATACCTGCTTTTTTCTTTTTTCGATCGGTAGGCACATGAGAGACCTGATTTTTCTTCCTCCCTCTTCATCAGATCGAGAAGGCATCATGCGATTTTCACCATCGTTTTTCCGGCGCCGTTTGTTCCTCTGGTGGCGGATTAGCTCATGGTTGGTCTTAATATGTTCGTCTCTTCTTCCTTATTATGTAGATACTGTTGGTGTTGTTCTCATGGAGGGGGTTCCTCCTTATTTGGAACCTGATGTTATTATGAAAAGAAAGGGGAGAAACAAGCTAAAAATCGATTTTGGTGAGGCTTCTAAGTTACTGTCTGATCCTCTGAAAGCTAAATCAGTCACTCTTCTTGTCAATAAGTTTGAATCATAAGTGAAATCTCCTGTGATAAAAGGATTGAGTGGTGTAAGTAAATCTGAAGGCCCTAGGTCTGGAGTGAATTTGGTGGATTCCCTTTTGGATGCTGAATGTGATGCGATTTCTATTGAGAATAAGGGCTTGGGATTGTCGAATGGTTCTGAGGGTGCTGTGATGGGATAGAAGATTTCTTCTAAAGTGGTTATGGATGATATCGTTGGTTCTCCAATGGTTAATCATGTCATTCGCAATCTAATTAAGGATGATGGAGTGATATAAGGTTTGAGCTCCATGTGCTTGAATTTGAAAAAGACATTGAGCAACCAATTATTTATTTAGTGCCTACCAACTTTTTGTTAAAAATCCTAAGAGACAAGATTTTTGTTTTTCATGTGTTTCACAGGTTTCAAGGTTGGACAAGGGATAAGCTGTCGTTATTGAGAATTTAAAGAAAGTTTCATGTTGCATACCAACTGCTCGATAAAATGCTTAAATCAGGTTTCTGGATTTTCTATCCAATCTTTCTATATAAATTCAACTATTTTTTTTGGCAAATATAAATGGTTTCTTCATAAAGGTTTTTGTTGTAAATAAGGTGTTTAACAAAACTCTTGAATCAACTTTGCTTTAATTGTATTATAAATTGTTTTGTAGGACCATGGAAGTATCAAATATGTTAATTTTTTTTATTAATTTGATTGTTAATAAATTGAGAGGATAAAAATATGTTAATTTTTTTATTCATGTCTTCCGATTATGGTTTTTGTTAATTATTTATATGTTGATAATAAATTATGCTAGAATTTTACTGTTTTATTTTGATAAAATTTTAATATTTATATGTTGATAATGTACTCTAATAGAATTTTACTATTGCATTCTAACAGAATTTGTGATAGAAATGGCTTGAAGAATGGTTTGAAGAACTGATGAGAAAGGTTTAAAGAATGATCACACTTAATGTTTAAGAATGTTTTTTTTTTTTTTTTTTTTTTTTTTTTTTTTTTTTTTTATAGAATTACACTTGTTATTCTTTCAAAATGTTGTTATTATGCAAAGAATCACAATTAATTATTTGGTATACTATTAGTTTAAGAATCTATTTTGTGTATTCTTTTCAGAATGTATTTAGTAGTTTATGATTGACATTATGTTATTCCGACATAATATGTTAGAATGTAGTTATTTTTCAACCTCGGATTCTAGAACTTTGTTATTATTCAATAATATTATAATAGAATAAAATTCTGAAAGAACATCATTCTAATAAAAAAAATATTCTGACAGAATAAATCGGTTATTTTTACAAATTATGTTATAATTAAAATTGAATTAATTAAAAAAAAAATCATATTTTTAAAATTAGGAGAATTAATTATCCATAAATATTCGAAAATTTCCTTTTATAATTGTAGTTAATTGTCCAAAATACCCTTTTGCTAAAATTTGTGTGATTATATGGTACATGCTATCCCATTGTAATATCATACACTCTCAAATCATGTCCATTGATGAATTCCATCCGTTGGTCCAGATTTGTGCACTCTAGCACACAATAGTTAGTAAAACAAAATAACCGAAACCTCTCTCTCTCTCTCTCTCTCTCTCTCTATATATATATATATATATATATATATATATATATATATATATATATATATATATATATATATATCACATCTCGCTCTCCCCCAATGCATCAAAACCTCCTTTACTAGTTTCATCAGATTCTCCTTGATCATCCTAAATAGTCAAAACCTTCTTAATTCATGAAATTAACTTAAATAGATCAAACCTTAAACACCATAATGATAGACGTAGAGGCCAGACCAATAAACGTATTCATTCATGGTCCATGGAGGTAAGATTATAAACATTCACGTGAATCAAAATTTCAATCGGGTCACCTAATCTAAGGTTTTCCAAAACTTGACATAAGCCTAACTGCATCTCTTTTAGCCCCCGTAAAATCCTATTGACAGATGGACTTTGTCACTATCATAACTCAAGTAATTGGAAAGCAATTCCCAAACTGAAAATCATATTGATTTAGAAGATCAATTCATCATAACGAAACTAATTGAAAAGTGAAAACTAATTCCCAAAATCAAAATCATATTGATTCAGAAAATCGATGTGATTTTAAAAAATATGAAATAGACCAAATGATGTCTGACACAGAGATAGACAAAAAGAAGTGCAGAGCAACACAAATGAATTTCACGTGGAGGAGGATGGATTGGGAGTATGATACCTGAAAACAAACTACACCTTCAATGCAAAGACGTCGACTGTTGACATATGTGTTCGTGTGTGTGTTTCACCGGCAAAGAGGACCTTCATCATCCCTCTAGGTTTTTGTTCTGCCTTGTCTCCATGCACGACTAAGTAGAAAAGAGAAACATATTTTCATTGGTAAAATGGAATAGAAGATAGAGAAGAAAAATTCGAAGATGATGTAGTGGAAGAGCTGTGGAAACGTATAGTCTTCACAAACCAACATGCCCTAAAACAAAAATAAAAAAGAAAAATGTTGAAGCTACCTTGAAAACTGTTGAAGATGTCCAACTTGAGATAAAACCCGACGACTTATTGTTGAAGGCGCGTCATGGCGTAAGGCGTGGCTTCGCCGTTACGAAAAGGCTCATAACGTTGTTGTTAGGCGTGACGCGTGGCAATGCGTGATATGGCGTACCATGACACGTTATGACATGTTTTTTCATTTGAGACAGTTTTTTGCTCTTTGTTATATCTTTTCTAATCAGAGATACAAGTATTGTGGTTTTTATTAACTTTTTGTTATTAGTTATTGATCTATTACTTCTAAAAAGTAGTTATATTCAATATAAATTTTTATTTATGTGGTAATATAATTTTCAATTAATAAATCGCCGCCTTACATCACGCCTTGAAAAACTTCATGGTTCGTTAAGTTTGAGGCTTGGTATTGCCGCCACACCGCGCCTCATGCCATTTAGAAGCTTGATCGAATTAGTCCTGGTATAAAAATTGCAAGAATGGTCCATGTCACAAAGAGTTAACAGAAACAGTTTCGGACATAAAAAATGCACAAATGGTCCCTGTTTTTCTAAGACATACATTTTCTAAGACATACAGAAACTGTCCCTGGTTAAAAAATTCCAGGAATGTTTCCCTTAAAAAAATTAAAAACTATTATACCTGCATCCTGAAATTAAAAACATTAGAGACCTCATTGAAAAAAAGATTTTTTACTAAAAGAAAAATGAGAACTTCTACACTTCATAACTCTTGCATATATCAAAACCACAATGTCATATCTTCATTTGATTCCTAAACGAAACTAAAATAGTAAAAATGTAACATTCAACTTAAATAAAGCCACAAAATGAAAACAAAATATCGATTTTAAAACTTGAAAATCTGACCCGAAACAAACAAAACTGATGTAGATCAACAACATAGAGTACACCAATGAAAAGCATCCATCAAATCTTTTAAAACTTCTTTCTTTTCTTGTTTTGACCAGAATCACTGTTTCTAAACCCTTTAAAATCATTAGTAGTTTCAGCAGTGTTTTGTTTCTTCATTCCTTTCTTTCCACCAAATCCATACTTTGAATCCCTAAACTCCCTACTCTTCCTCTTTCCATTCCCATTCCCTCCTTTTTGCTCTTTCCCTTTCCCTTTTCCACCTGACCTATCCCATGGTGACACCCCTTGTCTCTTATTCTTCTTAAATGTATCCGATTCCTTTCCTCCTTCAAATGGCAAACCCATGTCACCATCTTTCTTCTCAGCAAACCCACTTTGTTGTCTCTGTTTCCTCCATTTCTTAACAGATTCAATCTCATCTTTCTTCTGTTTCACCCTCTCTTTCTGTTTCACAGCTTGTACTTCTTTAGCCTTCTTTTTATTATCCCTCATCTTTCTTCTTTCTTCAGCTTCTTCCATCCTTCTCTTTTCAGATAAAAGTCTTCCCTTGATTTTCTCCATGTGGGAATCGGTTTTCACCATTTCAGCATAGTAGTCTGAGGGACGAAGGAATGGGAGGCCCATGGTTTGGAATTTCAGAAAGGCTTCACGTGTACCTTCTAGTGCTTGTGTGTAGAATGCCAGCTCACGTGCCAGGTCATCGTTTACATCTACTTCCTGTTCTTGTTGGATGTCGAGTGATAGTTTGTTGATCCAGTCAATGTCTTCAGGCCAGGTGATGTCATTAAGTTTATCGAGTAGACCTTCTTTGTTGTATATGGAGGTTTTTGAAGGTTCTGATAATTTTATATCTTCATCTCCTTCTGACTCTGATTCTGATTCAGAATCTGTTTCTTGTTCCGATTCAGAAGCCTCCACATCGAGATCTTCAGGTAACAATTCTGGTGTGGGCTTTTTTATGGCCATCTAGTAATCTGTTAAGAAATATCATTCAGCAAATCTTTTGTGAGTATACCACAAATTCAAACTAGAAACAAGTATTCCAGCTGCCAAATTTCCTATCGACCAACATTCTCACAGTTACAAAAGAAAAGCGAATCCAATAAACATACTTGTACAACGATCCTACATAATTAACAGCAATAGACAGGTCATTATCGAGTAACTCCTTTTCCATGTGTAAATGTAGAAATTTCCATAATTAAAACATAAAGTCTGTAATTTTTTACGATTATCTGATGAAAAATTACATGATTATTCAGGCTTCTCGCTAATCTGAGAACACCAAACTTGCGAAATCATACATGTAATGGATGTATGCATAGAAAATAGGAGCCCGACTATTTGACAGCAAATTACCTGTATAGGTGATGAAATTCGTAGACATATGATGTAGAGAACTAACCTTGAGAAGGGCGAGACAGATGTGTGGATGTATAAACCCTAAACCCTCAAAGATCGCAGTGTATGTTTCGGTGGCGATTATGTTATATATAGGCCCAGAAATAAAGCCCATAGAAATGACATTTAGTATTTGAGTCCATTAACCTAAACCTCATAATCGTTGTGCGCTACCTTATCGGCCTTATATATATAGGCCCAACATCTGGAATAAAGCCCATAAAAATGATCCACTATTTGGTTTAATAAGCATCAAGAAGAAAAGAAAAAATTACCAATTCGTTATATTCTTTTTTAAATAACTTACCAAACCATGTTAACCAACTTAGTAAATAACAAAATAAACGGCCTCAAGAGCATTTTTGTAGTTTAATATAATGGTTGTTAGAATTAGTTGGTTAGAAATTGTTAGTTAGAAGGTTTCGGGTTGATTTGTTGTATATATGTAGCTTGCTATTCATTTTTTAATCAATTAATGAGAAATTTTCCATTGAATCATGGTTCTTTGATCTTGTTCATCAATTTTACTATGTTTTTTAAAACTTCTTCGATTCTTCCTTGATCATTGTTTTTTCCTTTGATTCATTGCAATGAAAGAAATTCATGTTTTTAACACCAATGATTCATCTATACTTCCTGTTTCAAGACTATATTATCTAGGATCTTAAGATAATCCTAGTTTGCTTTTTGTATCCAATGTCTTCAATGGTGTTGGATTCGCTGCTTGGAAAGATCAATGGTGAAAAATAATACAAAAAACAAATGAGTGTTTGTTGATGGCTTAGAAAAATAATACAAAAAAAGACAAAAAAAAAAAATAAAATCTCTGTTAAAAGTGAGATAAATAGGAAAAATAATAATTTAGGAGGGTAATTAGCCAGTGACAATGAGAGAATATGAACATATTTAACATTACATGATAAGTAAATTTCCTTAAAAGGATGACTTAAATCATTGCATAACCTTTGAAAAGGACCAAGTGGGAAGTCTATATTCATACTTCTAATTAAGCAATCCAGATTATCCACACAAATATTTGCGTTTTACAGCACAAAAAGATCAACAAATAGGAATAAGATGCATCGCATTACTAATAGTGAATCATGCAATAGATGACAGGAAAAAAAAAATCATGATCAATGGATTAACAGCTCAAAATCATATGAAACTTGATTTATTCTCTTTTTCAATCTGAATTGTAACATGGCTAATGTTATAGTACTCCCTCTTGATATAATCCACCACTTTAATCATCATCAGATTCAGGCCTAAATTAAATCTCACGTGTCAAGCCAACGACACTTTATCAACAATAAGTCATTATATTTTATGATCATGTTTGGTTGGTTATATTAGAATGGAATGAATGATTTTACATTAATTCCATCCGACAAAACGAAAGTAAAAAGAACCATTCTAGAGTAACAAAATACTAATACTAGTAATTAATGTTAGACACATGATCTCCATATATACACTCACCATTATGTATTTGACTGCTGGTGATATATAGTCCTCTCTGAAGCCCAAAATCCGAAAGTTTTGGGTTCAAATTCTCATCCAACAACACATCCGCCGAGTTAAAGTTGCCTAATATCACCTTATAAATTCCAAAAATTAACTTTCGTTTAAACTTTAACTAGTAAGTCATAAAATAGTTACTGTTGACTTTGTTTGGCATATACTCGTAAACTAATAGTCTTTGACTTTGACTCGCTTTTTTATTATCTACTAAACAGTATCCCAATAGCTTTACAAGATTAGGGTGTTCCACATCGCCAAGAAACTCAACTGCTGCTAGCCATTTTTCATGCCCCTACACATCACATAACATTTTCTTTATATATAACTCCAAAAAAGTATTCTTTTTTTTTTTTTTCTAAACACTCCCATCTTGATCTAACTACAAAGTTTAAGCAAGTGTTATAAATACTCTTGAAGTTGAGAAGCCAGTCTTATATGATACTATAAAGAATTGATCACGGATAAGGTGATGTAATACAATAAAATTTTAAAACTAAAGAGATTAATTAAGAGAAGTTTAACGCAAGGGGGGAGACCTGCATGAAATGAATATTATGAAGTTTGGTGATCTTCCGAGTTGACCATCTCTGATCCATTGCGATCTATTAAAATTATTCGTAGCATTTTCGAGCTCTGGAAACGAGAACTTTCTCAAAGCATGTTCTTTTTCTCTGTACAATAGTGGTGAGGTTAATGGGTTTTGCTCCGGTGAAGATTCCCGTGATCTTCTTTTGGTTTTGGAACTGAAAATGTGAAAAAAATTCATCATTGAACAGCAAGCAAGCAGAACTCTAAATGGTGATATGAGAAAACAGGGATGGAATCAAGGGGTATCAGAGAGATTAGCAGCAAAGCCACGTGGGGAAGATGAGAGAATGGCCTGGCTTAAGCTTTTTGTATGTTGAGAACAAAGAGGTGGTGAGTGGAATGGTTTTGCTTTCAAATGTTCAAAGGGAATTTAATAGACAACCGAAACTAATTCAAAGGAAGAAATCCGAGTGCCTCATTGATCCGTCAAACTACCCCCACTAGCCATGCTTAAGGGAATTTTTTTTTTTTTTTTTTTTGAAATGGCAAACTATCCTATTGATAATCTAATCATAAACACCACCTATGTCTCATAATGAGAGTTGAACCCATGACCTTTTATTTGAAAGAATCACTCTTTATCGCTAGGCCAAATGTCCCTATGGTAGAAATTCTCCGGAATAGGTCGTTCCGGAACATATTTTAGACTTATTTTCGGGTGGACCGGCCCATTACCTTATCTCTTGTAGCATCCCAAAATTTAAGTTCAAAAAATTTATTTTTATAATAATAAAACCATTATCAAAAACGTGTTCATAAAACCATAAAAGAAAATCAAAGTATGCCAATAATCATCCAAATACATCAAGTCAACAAAATGCGGAACAATGTGGTGTGTGCGATTAGATCATCCCGAGACATTCCTCTTCAATCCAGAATTACATGAAACATAAACTGAAAACCGTAAGCACGAAGCTTAATGGACTTCCCAAAATACCACATACAATACATATCAAACATACAATGAATCATGCCTAACAACCATCAGGCCCCACCCGACATCGAGCCCCGCTCGGAACTAATATGTCTATATAATGTGATCGGTCCCACCCAATACACTCATCAGGCCCGCTCGACATACATACAATATATAAAATACATGCAAAAATTACTAAGATAAATAACATACAATACATTCATCGGGTCTTGCCTGGTATCAGACCCCGTCCGGTATACATATCATATACCACACATGCGAGAGTCACACAGACAACTAGCATCCTAATCATAATAACTCATGAGCTGGAATTGGTGTATTCGACCCGCTAAACATTGTGATAAGATTCACTTCAAACCGCTGAAAATATGATAAATGTCCGGACTGCTGATCTGTATAATCTCCACGCTAATTGATAACATTTATGAAAAGATGACAACAGGAAGACATCTTTACACACACAAGAATAGAACTGTAAGTTTGGAAGACATGAATTAGTGAAAGTTTTGGTGTGGGATACAGTAAAGATTCTCCAAGAGCTTCCAATGAATTTAACCTTTCATTTACTACCACTATGGATGAATGTGAATTGTGAAGCTTAAATGGAAAAAATAAAGACTTCATGAGTGATAGCTAGCTGGCATACAGTGAGTAGGGTCTGGAATAGGAAATTAACGAATGTATGTACCTTGGTTCGACTGATGTATAATATATTCTCTATTATTTATTTTTATTTTTAATTTTTTTTTTTTTTTTTACAATAGTACCATTTTCATTAGTTTAATTATCGTTGTAAAACGAGTGAGATGACAAACGGACAACAAGTTGTCGCTAAGCCTTTTAAATGAGTTATTATTAACTATCAATGATTGAAAATATTTATTTAAACGAGTTATAATCGTTTTAATTTTATTTAATAAAATATTTGAATTAATAATGTAACATTTAATTCGGATGTATTATATATGATTTATAAACTATTTATATAATTTATTTAAATATGTAAGACATAAAGATAATAAATAGAAGTGGTATTTTTTTAAATCTAAATAAATTAGAAAAATGTATACAATTAGAGCATCTTTAGTGAGAGATTTTTTTATAATTTATTCTTGTAGATTTTTTTTATTGAGCACTTAATACCATTGAAATAGATAGTTTTTTTTTATTTTATTTTAATATTTTGATCACTCAAAATATATATATATATATATATATATATATATATATATATATATATATATATATATATATATATATATATATATATATATATATATATATATATATATAAAATGATCAATAAACTTGTACAACTTGTACATATAAGCCATTATAGTTTAACCATATTTCATTTATCTATATAATTCTAATTTAATTTTAGATATTTTTATTATTTTTACTATTAATTATTCCTATTAATTACTATTATTTATAAAAAAAAATTATGGCAATAATTTAATATTTTCAATATTTTAGTCTATTTTGTAACTATAACATAATAATTTTTTATATT